TGTTGCCTGCTCCTGGGGTCATTCTTCTTTTACCTCTGTTTTTGCACTTCCGGTTGTGGGCGTTGCTCGGTGTGTGCTGACGCGTGACGGACGGTGCCACGATGGCCTCCTCCGGCGATGACAGTTGCTGTGCTCTCGGCACACATCCACACACACTTCCTTGTCTCTCTGTGGGTGTGATTGCAGCAGGGCATTGCTGCCAGCGTGATGGGGACCACGACGGCGTCACCCCTCGAGAAGGTCCCACGCTCTGTCGGTTGTGGAGTGGCGAGGCGGTTTGCCTGCAGCCCGACTGACAGAACCGCACAGTCGTTTCATTGCGGCCACTCCGTCGGCATCACCCGCTTCGGTGGTGTCCGCAAGAGCCGCAGCCCCGATGAGGATGGCCTCGTAGTTATCTAGCAGCCCAGAACTTCAGGGCCTTTGCCACTCAGGATTGCCCCTGCAGCACGACTGGCGCAGCACCGGCCAGGCATCGTACTTCTCCAGGAGTGCAGGCACCAGAGTGCCCCAGCGACGAGGCTCACTGGCTGCAGTGAATTCCACCAGGCCTACAGTGGGCGTGCCGGTGGCGTGGCCCTCGTGGTGCGCCACACCTTGCCGTGCGAGCGCCTGTTGCTCGTGGCCCCAACTGCCTGGAGAACACTGCCTTCCGCGTGCGCCCACCGGCCAGCCCCAGCATGCACGTGGTGAACCTCTGCAGCTTTCCCACGGCAACTGCTCACGCTGCTCACTTTGCGAGCACCATTCGTCGCCCTGGTCCTGCAGCGCCTATTGCGGGTGACCCGAATTCACACCATGAGCTGCGGGAAGGTCGCTCACCATCCACGACGGCAGGAGAGGACCTCGCCGCCACCCCAACCGGCATGGAGTGTGAGCTGTCCGACGACCCGGCACAGGCAGCGCGGATCAGCGGCCGCAGCGTCTCTTTTCCCAACGTGACTGCGCAACGCGTACTGCGTGTATCCCACTTGACGTCCAGCCGCTGCATGGAGTCGGACCACCATCCGCCATTCCACACTGCAGGGACGGAGGACGGCATCCCGCGACAGACAGGCATGCTGCCACGACGGAAACATTTCGCCGTTGTCCTGCGTGAAGCTGACTGCGATGCTTCCACCTCGGCGTGTGCAACGCCCCTGTCCACCGTAATCACATGGTTGGAGATGCACTGAGGCACCGTGCGAGCGGCAGCCGTAACAGTCCCACATGTATCCGGACGGACGGAATGGAGCATGCCGAGTGTGTTTTGGAGCCAGCATGCAACGCGCAAACAGCCTCAGCAGGAGGCAGTCCACCCCGAGCTGAATTTCCCCACAAACGGGAGGACCGCAATCATGTCCTTCGCCGTGGCTTCTCCATGCTGCTAGTGGTCTTTGCGAAACGGCTTGGTGCCCTCTCGAGCCCAGGCCGGTGATACCTTGAGTCGTGGCGGCACCACGTCCCTGCCTTCTGGGATCGGCTGTGCTGTGGTGCTCTTGGGACTGTGACTGTGCTCTGCCTCTGCAGCAGGCAAACCCGCTCCTCCGTCACACTGTCCGCGTCGCACGTGCTGCGATCCCCACTGTTTTCTCCACACTTTGTGCTCGCGTGCTCCCTGGTGACTGGGATATGGATTGGCCCTTCACGCCGTGTGCGCCTGACTCGGCCATCCGCGATTGTTTGCCTGGCGTGGCCCCTGTCCCCGGCGTGTATTGCATGCATTTCTGCGCCATCTTGCACCCGCTGCCCGCTGCTCGCACAGAACGATGACCAACACCTCCCTTGCGGACGGCAGCCTGCGAGGCTCCTGGGAAATGGAAGACACCACTCCTATCCGCAGACACGGGAAGGACACATGCCGCACGGAGAGAGTTGTCGGTCCATCCTGCTGCACTCTGTCCTGCTAGGGCTGAGCGAATGACTGTTCCACCGCCGCCTGTCAGCACTGCTGGCACACCACCGACGACAGCCTGGATCCACGCCACGACGCGCGGCCTCCGAAGTGGTGACGCCTGTGAGTGACGGAACGGCACGAGGGCTGAGCGAGCGCATTGCCGTGGGTTGCGAGCGTTGCAGTGGTGGCGTCCCGCGCTGCACCGTTGCCGTCGCCGCTCTCTCGCAGTCCCGATCGGTCTCTCGACTGCGTTCGACACCGTTGACGATGGACGAGTGCTGGCCGTGCTCGGCGGGCTTCCGCGTCTGTGCCGTCGCACCCAACGCTGGTAGCGCAGTCACCTGCGAGGCGGCTGCGTTGGGATGAGTGCTCGCCAACAATATTCCCGACAGCAGCTTGGTTCAGCCGTGGCAGCCCAATGCAGCGTCGTGGGACCGCAGCTTTTCCACCGCCACGTGGATGGTCTGCCGCGCCGCCTGGACAGCATTTACTTGGCGTTGGCGTTCGTGCACGCTGACGACCGCACGCTTGTTGCGTTGGGTGCGGACGGCCGTGCATGTGCTGCGGCAATGTCGACTGCCGTGTCCGTTGTGACCACATGGGCTGCGGAGCACAGCCTGAAGATTGAAGCGGAAGGGAACGGGGCCGCTCTGTTCTGCATCGCTTCAAACAGAAATTCTGACGAGGACGCTGCCGACCATCGTCTGGGCGGTGGGAACCCACGCGTCAATTCGCACCTGGTGGTTCTGCTCGGCAATGCGATTGATCGACACCTCAATTTCGGTTTGCACGTCACCGCCGCTGCAGGGCAGACCGTGCCACTCCGCCGTCAGCCGCGGCTGGGCGCAGGAGCTGGTGCGTCCCAGCACATCATGCGTTCCTGTCTGGTTGGATGCGTCCACACTGCGTTGCACCACGGCGGCGAGGCGACCGCACCGTGTCCAGCTCCCACTCACCTCCACAGCCTGGGAGTGCGGCACGGCGACAGCTGCACAGCATTTCTCGGCCCACGCGCATCAACGAAGGATGCTTCTTTCCACATGGCAGCCAGTCCAGCACTGCTGCGGAGGATCATTGGGTTCCGCGCACCCACACAGCACGAACGCCTCACGCGTCTCCGGTATATTGAGGACGTGCGTGGCGCAATCTGCTCGGAAACCATGGCACCTTCGTCAATACATTGGAAGGCAGCGACGACCATTTCCGCTGCCGGGAGATGCCGTCCTCAACGGACTGCGACGCGTCCGCTGCCACATGGAGATCTCCCCGCACCACATCCGCGCCCCTCATGCTGAGCACCGCATTGTTGTCTGGGGCACTGTGAGCCGCAAGGAGGTGGGCGTATTCCGGCCACGGCACGCCAGGGACGCCCTGGACAGTGTCAGACGATCGGCCGTTGAAGCGGCCTGCGCCTCTCTGGGGCCATGTATGTGGATCCGCCGCGCTGCCACTCGACTCCCCGGACAGCCGCGCTCCCTGTGGGGCCTCACCGCACAGCCGCTGGCAGCCTTGCATGCTCCAGCCGAGCGGAGTGTCCTGCCACTGAGCATGGCCACGGACAGTTCCCAGTTTCCCGCCTGGTAGCAGCGTCCCAATCGCCCACACGAGTTCCTGTCGCCACAGATACCCTGTCGGTGATGGAGGCGCTCCGCCTTGGCCCTCTGGCGGTGCACGACGACGTCAGCGAGGAGATTTGTGCCGTGCCACTTTCACTGGTGGATTGGGGTCACGCAGTTGGCTCCACATCTTCCATGACACTGCGGTATTCCACGCAGAGTGACAGCGGACGCCGATGCCGTCATGGCACGATCTCTCCCGCAGGACTGCGTCAATGCCTGGCACGTGGGCTTCCTCACTGCAGTCAAGAGGTTATGCTGGAAGGATGTCCAGGAGGAAAAGTAAGGCGCGCACACCGCATTACAGGCGCCTGTCGGTGTGGCCAGGACTCTATTCCTGGTGTTGACCCGGACATCGTTCCCCGAGTGGCGGCACGGCGCACAGGCGCGGTGCGACTCCTGCCCTCTCTTCGTCAGGCCTGCGCACGCCATGCAGATCACAAGTAACCCTCTGTGCCGGTGGTGCCGTCCCTCCTTCACTAAGGAGAATGGCTTGTCTCGCCTCTCCCGGAGCCTCTTCCCTACGTGAGCACCGCAACTCCTTGCCGGCAAGCGAGCGGCGGATTGACGTATTCCTGCCGAATCCTTGGCAGAGCGCATTCTTCCGTCCACAATATGAGGGCACATGCTCGACGTGCTCACCCTGGCGTTCCGATAGTTGGAGAGGGCCTCACATGCGGATGCCAAAATGGCGCCACCGTCTTCTTAGCAGGCGCCTCACGCGCAGGTCGCCACCGAAGTTGCCAAGCATGCCAGCAGGCAGGACACGCAGGAAGCACAAGCGCGGGTACTCGAGATGGACCAGGCGCTTCCGCCACCGCCTCATACCGGATCCCACGGGCTGCTGATCCCACGACGGACCACGGGAGACTCTGCCTCATCCACTGCGGGAATGCCCTCGTCGTTGGGAATATGGACTGCGACTGTTTTGGACTGCCCCAGCCCGCACGACGGCCCGTTTGCGACGGAATACTTGCCACTTTTGTACGGACGGTTTTTGCGCTACTCACTCGTTATTATAACAGCATCCAACAACAGCAAAATGACAATTTGCTTTGTGATGAATATTGGCTGCACTTCCTGTGGACCAACAATCCACGTGGTGTGCGTGGATCTCCTCCTTTTTTATTGTTACTTTGCTTTCGTGTTGCTGTGTGCGCTGCACCTCCTCTTGTGTGTGTGCGTACCCTCCGTGAGGGGTGCAGACACGACGGACCGCTCTTGCCGTATGTGCATGCGGTGGAGCCTTGTGTGCCGCTCCTGTTTGCCTCTCCCTGTTCCATCTGTGTGTTGGTGCTGCGGCAGGGCTGTGTGTGTGTGTGCCTGCTGCCGTGGATTGGAGTGTGTGTCGTGCGTGGTGTGCGGCGTACGGTGCATGCCTGGCTGCTGCCCTCTCCTCATGTGGTGTGCCCTCTGTGTGTGTCTGCTGCACCTCTCGTCTCCCCTGTTGCTCTCCATGTCCCTCACTGTGCAGATCAGCTCCACACCACTGAACGACCACACTCACGATGATGACGATGTGCCGTCTGCTGTGCGCCCTGTTGGTGCTTGCCCTGTGCTGCTGCCCGTGTATCTGCACGGCATCGGTTGTTGCGGAGCGTGTTGTCCCCCGTGAACCGCTCATACCGCCACAGGGGACAATTCCAGAGATCAAGTCTCCGGATTCAAGTACCCTTGCGGACCAGGAAGGTGTTGGTGCCGGTGCGGTAGATCAATCAGTTAAGGCCGTTAAGGAAGGAATATCAGGTGAATTGTCCAGTACAGAAAATGGAGAAAGGGCAACTGAACAGGCAGAGTCAGAAAGTGTGGACACTAAATCGAGAGGTTCAACGGAGAATTCCAGTAAGTCGGTGGTAAAAAAAACAGAGCAGAATCCGGAAGTGTTAATACCTAATGAAGAGGCTAACCTACAGAAAACAAATACGAAGACCACGACGACCACAACCACAAAGGCACCAAATACGACTACCACGACCACCACCACTGCGCCAGAGGCACCAAGTACTACGACTACAGAGGCGCCAACCACGACGACCACCCTCGCACCGTCACGACTTCGCAGGATCGACGGCAGCCTCAGCAGCTCTGCGTGGGCGTGTGCCCCGCTGCTGCTCGCCGCATCCGCGCTGGCGTACACCGCTGTGGGCTGAAGAGGTGTGTGCGGGCTGTGCGTGCCAGCACTCAGCCACGGGGATTTGTGTCCGTCTACTGTGGTCCGATGTAAATAAATAAGAGAAAATAATGATTGTGTATTGCTTCATTTGCTTCTGCTGCGCTGCTGTGTGCTTCGCGTTGTGGCTTCCTGTATCCGTCACGTTGAACGCATCCCAGACACACTCATATGCATGGCACGCACACAACTGTTTGCGTGGTGTCACATTTGAGGATGGGTGCATGCGCGCTGGACCCATACTGTGCAGCTCTTTTTTGTATGTTTCTACATTTTTTGCTTTATTGTTGTTTGTTTACCTGTGTTTTGTTTTTAATTGCTTTGTGTGTTTTTTCTGTTTACTTGCTGCGCGGCGTTGTGTGTTTTTGCCCTTTCACTGTTTTCAACTGTTTCATGGTGTCTGCGCTGCTGCTGCTGGGCTGCTGCCACTTGTTACTTTGCGGTGGCTGTGTTTGTTGTAGTGGTCGTGTCTCTCCTTTTGCTTTCACTCTCTACGTTGACGGGGAGTTAGTTTGTGCTTAAAGCTACACGCAAGTGACAGGAGTGATGGCGATGACGATGACTGGCCGTGTGCTGCTGGTGTGTGCCCTCTGCGTGCTGTGGTGCGGTGCCGGCGGTAGATGTGACGAGGAGACAGCAGCTCGTGGGAGTGATGCTGAACCTCCGCTGGCATCAAAACCCGAGACGCCAGAATCAGGCATTCCGGGAACGCAACCACAAGTAAAAAGAGATAATGAGGAAGCAAAACGCCCAATGGGAGAGGGATCTTTGGAGGGAAGCGAAGATAACGTTGTTGCAAAAACAGAAGATCTTTCTGAAGACGATGAAGGAAGTAAGGAAGAAGGAAATGAGGAAACCCAAAGAAAAAAATTGAACGGAAGACAGGAGGAACATGAGGAAAATGGACCTGCAAGTGGCCTAGACACCTCGAACGGGTCTTCAATTGAGAGTCAGCTACAAACGCTCCAGACAAATTCATCTACAGGTAGCAGTCCTCCTTCCAGTAGTCTGAAAGCGATTCTCGATCTCACGCAAACAGGAATTAAAGAAAACGGCGTCTCCGTTACAAATTCACCGACAGATGAAGAAACTCTCGAAAAAGATACCAGAGACAACGCACCACATGGTGGACTTGCGAAAGTAACTCTTCCGCCTCCTCTAGAAGACAGTGCTGCTGCCAGTGGAATTTCTGCCGAATACAAGAAAGACGAAGGTCAAAAAGATGCTAATTTGCATAGCACTGCGGCCACAGTACAAGACAGTCAGGACGACACTACGAAAAACACCAAGAAAGAAACAATACCAACCGCTATAACAACTGATACTGAGACTACACAGCACAATGACAGCAGCCCAGCAGAACTAACGGCCCCGCAGTCTGACGCTGGTGTGGAGAGCACTCCGTCGACCAATTATTCAAGGCATTCATCCACTGAGGACGCTGCACGGCTCAGCGAGACCAACGATGCAGAAGACGCATCAGGCAGCACAGAGACTGCGGACTCTAAGATTGCAGAAACCGAAAAGGCACCTCTCGCCACCGCCAACACAACTGATACGACGACGAACGACAGTGACGGTGACAGCAGCACCGCGGTCTCCCACACCACCTTTCCTCTTTTGCTTCTTCTTCCTGTTGCGTGTGCGGCTGCTGCTGCGGTGGTGGCCGCGTGAGAGTGAGGGAGAGAGCGCCATGCACCGCCCGCACACACACTCGTCTTACACTCACTCTCTGTGTGTGTCCCCTTGCATGGACTCTCGCCCTCACCTCACCCCACGAAGCACACACATAATGTGCCCATTGTATATATTGCATGCACACCCATGCAGGCCCGTTGGTGCTCTCTTTTGCACGACACGCACCGCTGCCGTCCTGCCTGCCTGCATGGGCGGAGCACCGTAACTGTTTTTGTTTTTTGCTTCCGTTGCATTGAGTGGGCGACCTCTCTCTCTCTCTCTCCCTGTGTGTGTGTTTTGCTTTACGGGAGCAATGAGTGTGTGTGCGCTGGTCGTCCCACGCTTCGGCTTTTTGTTTTTTATTGTTTTGTTGTTTTACTTGTGTTGCGGTTGAGTGCACTCATTACCTTTTTTTTATCGATTGTTGGCTTGCTTTGACGGCGGACACGTGACTTTTTATTTTTTTTATTATTATTTTTTCCTTTGAGATATTGTGAGTGTTTTGTATTCTTTTCAAACCATGAAGTGTCTTCCATCACGTACAGCATGCGTCAGTTGATCCACGTCACTTCACGGTCTGCAGTGCTGCTGGTGCTTCTGGTTGCGATGATTGTGATGTGTTGTGCATGCGGGTGCTTTGCTGTCAGCCTGACGTACTCCTGCTCCTCTGACAAAGCGGTGCGTGCCGAAAGGGAAAAGTCGGTCCCGGCTGTGGTGAGAGAAGTGTCCTTTTTGAAGCAGCGGGTACGTCGCAGAAATGCACCGTCATTGGGAGGAATGGATGGGCGCCCATCTGCATCGATTTGTCGACATGGGACCTGGATGATGCCAGGAAGTCTTGCAGCTCGGAGCGGCATTACGCAATGAATTCATTGGTGGCAATTGCGAGTGTGAAGGTGACGTTTTTTTCTACTGAGAATAAATGAAATTTTTCTTTTTGTTATACGTTGCGGTCACTATTCGTTGATAGGCTGAGGACTGTCCGTAGAAACGTGGCCAGTTTTTACCCCTAAACGGTGCTATCGTGCGAGAGGGGTTATCCCAGAGCGTGTGCGGCAGGGCCTCCCGTGGACCGTCAGGCGGCTCAGCGGCTGGTGGTGGTTGCCGTAGCGGAGTGGCTGAAGGGCTATGGCTGTCATTGGAGCTTGCGGAGGTGCGCTGTCCGTTTTTAGCTCGTTGATACGCTTGACATCTTTGGTAGTGACCTGCGCGTGAGGCACTTCTTGGGAATACGGTGGAGCTGTCGCAGAATCCACATGCGATGCCTTTCTCAGCGATTGGAGTGCCAGGGTGGACACGTCGGGCGTGTACCTTCATATTGTGGACGGACGAGAAGACGCTGCTGCCGATTGGGCAGGGCGACGTTGACCTGCTGCTCGTCGTTCTACGAGGAGGTGCCGTCGACACGCCAGGTGGAGGTTTCGGAGGCGGTCGGGGCGGTCCTGTCTCTTCAGTGTGAGAGGGACGGCACCACCGAGATATGAAGGGTTGCCTGTAATCTGCAGGGCGCGTGTCGGTCTGCCGAGGAGTGGACAGGAGGGCGTCCATCAGCCGCTTGCTCTTCGGCAAGGAGTGGCGGTGCTCACGTCGGGAAGAGGTTGCGGTGGAGGCAGAGCACAGACGCGGTCCCAGCAGTACCGCAGCACAGCCGATCCCAGAGGGAAGGGACGTGGCGCTGCCATGCCTCGGGGTATCACAGGACTTGGGCTCCAGAGGGCACCAAGCTGTTTCACACGGACCTCTAGCAGCATGGAGAAGCCACGGCGGAGGGCATAATTGCGGTCCTCCCGTTTGCGGTGCATTTCAGCTCGGGGCAGGCTGCCGCTGCAACACACTCGGCCTGCTCCATTCCGTCCGTCCAGATTCCTGTGGGACTGTTACGGCTGCCACTCGCACGGTGCCTCAGTGCATTTCCAACCATGTGGTCACAGCGGCCAGAGGAGTTCCACACGCCGAGGGGGAAGCATCACAGTCAGCTTCACGCAGGACAAAGCGGCATGTTTCCGTTGTGGCAGCATGCCTGCCTGTCGCGGGATGCCGTCCTCCGTCCCTGCAGTGTGGGATGGCAGATGGTGGTCCGACTCCTTGCAAACGGGTGGAAGTCCAGTGGGAGACACGCAGTACGCGTTGCGCAGTCACGTCGGGAAACGAGACGCTGCGGCCGCTAATCCGCGTTGCCTGTGCCGGGTCGTCAGACAGCTCACACTCCATGCCGGATGAGGTGGCGGCAAGGTCCTCTCCTGCCGTCGTGGATGGTGAGCGACCGTCCCGCAGCTCATGGTGTGAATTCGAGTCGCCCGCAATAGGCGCTGCAGGACCAGGGAGACGAATGGTGCTCGCAAAGTGAGCAGCGTGAGCAATTGCCGTGGGAAGGCTGCAGGAGTTCACCACGTGCATGCTGGGGCTGGCCGGTGGGCGCACGCGGAAGACAGTGCTCTCCAGGCAGTTGGTGTCACGAGCAGCGGGCACTCGCACAGCAAGGTGTGGCGCACCAAGAAGGCCACGCCACCGGCACGCCCACTGCAGGCCTGGTGGAGATCACTGCAGCCAACGAGCCTCGTCGCTGGAGCACTATGGTGCCTGCACTCCTGGAGAAGTACGATGCCTGGCCGGTGCTGCGCCAGTCGTGCTGCAGGGGCGATCCTGAGTGGCAAAGGCCCTGAAGTTCTGGGCTGCCAGACAACTACGAGGCCATCCTCATCGGGCTGCGGCTCTTGCGGACACCACAGCAGCGGGTGATGCCGACGAAGCGACAGCAATGAAACGACTGTGTGGTTCTGTCAGTCAAACTGCAGGCAAACCGCCTCGCCGCTCCACAACCGACAGAGCGTGTGACCTCCTCGAGGGGTGACGCCGTCGTGGTCCCCATCACGCTGGCAGCAATGCCCTGCTGCAATCACACCCACAGAGAGACAAGGAAGAGTGTGTGGATGTGTGCCGAGAGCACAGCGACTGTCATCGCCGGAGGAGGCCATCGTGGCACCGTCCGTCACGCGTCAGCACACACCGAGCAACGCCCACAACCGGAAGTGCAAAAACAGAGGGCAGAGAAGAATGACCCCAAGAGCAGGCAACACCTTCTCGCATGGCGGGCATCGTGCAGCCGCGTCAGCCGGCCACAAACTCAATGCAAAAGGCGTCCCACACACACCCATCCGATGGCACCGTGATTCCCACCGCAGACACACACGCAGCGGCCTCGCCATCTCGGCACGGGATGCAAGCCAACGTCCCGCCGTCGCAAAAAGCAATCCTGCAGAGCACTGTGCAATCACTTATGTCTGTGTGTGGATGCTGGAGTAGCAGAAAAGAAGAGGAGCACATGGAGGCACATCAACACAGCAAGAGGCACAGCTGGAAGGCGGCGATACATGCGGCACGGCCCCAACCTCAACAATCACGCACGGTGGCAGCACACACCCATCGAATAAACAAAAGAAAAAAAACACGGCGGCAGGGTGTGGCTGTGTGTGTGTGGCGCTGCGGGTGTCTGCCCGCCCTGGCAGCAAAGAAAGCAAAACAAGAGGGAAAGAAATGTGTGCTCCGCCCCACAGGCCCTCGTCGCACGCCCACACGTCACGGCTCCCTCAGCGCGCCGTTCGTCGCGGCCCCTCCTCATGCGTGCAGCAGGCGAGGCGCACAGGGCCGTCGTCATGAGCGTGTCGGTGGGTGTGCGAGTGGAGCAGTTGGGCGGGAAACACACGGCACCCCTCACAGGAAGAGTGCAGAAGAAACAATTAAAAGAGGGAAGAGTAGAAAAGAAAAAAAGTGTCCATAGTGGTTGCCCCCAAAAGCAAAAAAGAAGGATGAGGGGAGTAAGAGATAAAAACAAGAAAAAACAAAACAAAAAGCCGAAGCGTGGGACGACCAGCGCACACACTCTCATTGCTCCCGTAAAGCAAAACACACACACAGGGAGAGAGAGAGAGAGGTCGCCCACTCAATGCAATAAAAACAAAACAGAAACAGTTACGGTGCTCCGCCCATGCAGCCAGGCAGGACGGCAGCGGTGCGTGTCGTGCAAAAGAGAGAGCACCAACGGGCCTGCATGGGTGTGCATGCAATATATACAATGGGCACATTATGTGTGTGCTTCGTGGGATGAGGTGAGGGCGAGAGTCCATGCAAGGGGACACACACAGAGAGTGAGTGAAAGACGAGTGTGTGTGCGGGCGGTGCATGGCGCTCTCTCACTCACTCTCACGCGGCCACCACCGCAGCCGCAGCCGCACACACCACGAAACAGATGGAATCAGTGCGATTGCAGAACTCGCACACCGTCCTGCAAACCAGAAGTTTAAAAAGCAATAAGAAACAAGAATTCCAAAAAAAAAAGGAAAAAGGAAAAAAACATAGGCATCTTCGGGACTCGAACCCGCGCCCCGGATGACATTGTGAGCTTGTTTGCCACTGAGCTAAAAAAAAATGTGGTCGCGCGACCCATTTTCACGTAAGGTGTTAATTTCGATCTTCGAACAATCGAGCACATTTGCGTTGTCCCCTGGAAAACGAAAGCGACATGTTTAGGGTGCGCCGCCGCAGCGTGGATACATCGATTCGTCGTCATATATCTCTCGTACGGGGCGGACCGCCGCAGCTTGGATAATTCGACACGTCGTCATGTATCTCTCGTTCGGGGCAGCCGCTGCAACTTGGATAATTCGACACGTCGTCATGTATCTCTCGTCCGGGGCCACCGCCCTACTCTTTTTTATTCCTTGCGGCGGCCAACCCCGGCAGTAAGGACAAAAAACAGGATCGCGT